ATTAGATTTAGTAGGGGTCTGCACAGAGGGAAGGAGTTTGTTCCTAGGCCTGGTTCTGAGATTCATGGGCCATCTACATGCCCCATCTGGCCCTCCATGCAAACCCTGTGTGAAAAGGGTTTCAAGTTCTGTATCTAGACCCTGGGTCCCTCTTCTGTCAGCACCCAGGCTTGGAGGGGAGCAGGGACTATGAAATACTTTGTGTCTGTCACAGGCCTTACATTCACAATATTGACATGATCACCTGGGTTTATTTCCCTTATTGTCAGAAGAAAATGAAGAGAAAAGTAGCTGTGGGTGGTTTATCAGTGGGAGCGGTCTTTCCAATTTGCTATCAAAGGGATAGGACATTTTCTTGCCAGTGCGACACTGATATGATGGCCAGCCTCACCTTTTCTCAGCACAGAGAGATGGAAGGCATCTGCAGAGTGGACAGGTGCTCATGGTAAGAGCACAGGCCCAAGTTTTCCTACATGTGCTAGAGTTCTCATAATTTCTCACTTATTTGCTGTTTCCACTCGTTCAACAAATATTTTTTTTAATGTTTTATTTATTTCTGAGAGAGAGAGAGAGAGAGAGAGACAGTGTGAGCAGGGGAGGGTCAGAGAGAGTGGGAGACACAGAATCAAAAACAGGCTCCAGGCTCTGAGCTAGCTGTGAGCACAGAACCCGATGTAGGGCTCGAACCCATGAACCGTGAGATCATGACCTGAGCCGAAGTCAGATGGTTAACTGACTGAGCCACCCAGGCGCCCCTCATTCAACAAATATTTATCAAGCACTTTCTATGAACTAGGCTCAGCTCTAGGCACTGGGAAGAAGGCAATAAGCCCCAAATCCTTGCCCAAGTAGAGCTTGTACTTAGTGGGGTCGATGAACAACGAAGGTGGTAAGTATATCTATTTAATGAACACTAAGAGCCAGAGTAATTGTAGCAAGTGAGCAAATCATGCGTTCGTAATTTATTTCTTATATACAAGACACACACACACACAGACACACACACACACACACACACACACAGAGCTTTTCTTACTTCCCTGGATTGGGAAATGGCTATTAGGGAAAGATACTTTCAAATAGTAGCCATGAAAAAACAGCTTTACTTAGAATATAGATAAATAAATAAATGCCAGTGTATTTCTTCCTCTCTGTCTTCTGAACTCTGTTTCCAGCTGTGTCTTGTTTTTGGACTGATTTGGGTCAAGGGGCCTTTATACCTGCAGAGACATTGAAAAGTGTCATGTTGTTTACAAATACTTGAGGCCAGATTATGTCTTTAGCATTGTATAAATATTATTCTCTGCTGATGCTTAACATATGGTTATAGAAGGTCTCTTCCCTTCCCCCAAGGCCAGTCAGCATTTTGCTGGTGTTAAGCATCATGAACACCATGCCAAATTTATGTATTTGTGCACATTATTTCCATATGTCCACAGTGAAGGTGTGACCTTGAGGAGTCTACATTGCAGATAAACTTAGATATCTTGCTCAGTGCCTGAATAACAAATGTTACTTTTCTCTTTGTGCTTGAAAATATAACTCTAACTCACTTCAGTGAGATATTTCTCAGAAAGCTGCAGTCTTTCTTAGAAAGACCCTGTAGGCACAAGGAAACCAGTGTTTCCTGCAGTGATATCCCAAAGCACCAGCCTCTGAGTGGCTGCTTTATCTTTTTGGTACAGAAATAGTAGCATTTCAGTTTGTGGGAGTCTTTGAGAAGTCACAGATATCCAAGAACATGCTTTTGAACAGTTTTTGAGTATGTGGAATGAATGACAGGATCACTTGAATAACATTTATTTTTCAATGACTTGAAGACCTAGGTTTGCTGACCATATTTTCCAATGGTACAAGTGTGGACTAAATTAATGTGGTCTTAACTTATATTATTAAATGTAGAATTAAGATCAAAGGTCTGGGTGCTCATATTCTGCTCTGAACAGACACCATGGGTAGGGGTCCATTTGGGCTGGATAACTTGGAGGTGTATCTACAGAGAGTGAGTGAGGTCATGGATGGCTGAATGAGAGAACTGGGAGAAGAAAGCCTTCCTGGGGTGGAGTGGGGGAATTGAAGAATTTGAAGGGGTGTCATTGAATGACAAATTAGATTTATTCTGGGTAGCTTTAAAGGGCTGAGCCAAAATTTGTAGCAACATGGATGGAACTGGAGGGTATTATGCTAGGTGAAATAAGTCAGGCAGAGAAAGACAGATAACATATGTTTTCACTCATATGTGGATCAGGAGAAACTTAACAGAGGACCATAGGGGAGGAGAAGGGGAAAAAATAGTTAAAGAGAGGGAGGGAGGCAAACCATAAGAGACTCTTAAATACTGAGAAAAAACTGAAGGTTGATGGGAGGTGAGAGAGGGGGAAATGGGTGATGGGCATGGAGAAGGGCACTGTTGGGATGAGCACCAGGTATTATATGGAAACCAACTTGACAATAAACTATATTAAAAAATAAAATAAAATACAAGGCTGAGCCAAGACCCACAGTTGGAATTTGGATGGCTACAAAACTTAGTCCAATTTTAGGAAGACTGTTTCTCTACTAAAATGACAAAGCAAGAGGCAGCCTGGTGAGATAGTGACTTCCAGCAATATGATGCTGAAACAGAGGCTGGGCTGCTATGGGCACAAGTATGGCAACAAGATATCCGGACCCCAGGGAGGCTGCACTGTTTGACCTTCAAGGAGCTCTTCGATTTTGAGGTTTATGGGCTTGACAGAATGGAATGGAAGGGGAGTGTGCTTGCAGATTTACCCAGATAAAATTCTTTATTAGAAACTGCTCCTCCAGGGGCGCCTGGGTGGCTTAGTCGGTTAAGCATCCGACTTTCGCTTAGGTCATGATCTCGTGGTTCGTGGGTTCGAGCCCCGCGTCGGGCTCTGTGCTGACTGCCAGCTCAGAGCCTGGAGCCTGTTTCAGTCTGTGACTCCCTCTCTCTCTGACCCTCCCCTGCTCACACTGTCCCTCTCTCTCTCTCTCCTAGAAATAAATTTAAAAAAACATTAAAAAAAAAAAAAAAAAGAAACTGCTCCTCCTGATGCAGAAGCAAGAGTATGGGACCCATTGGACCCAGCTCCGGGTCCAGCAACGTTGATACCTCTTGATTCTCCAGGGAACATGTGGGTTGCCTCAGCTTGGTTTCCAGACCATCCTCCAGGGCTGTAACTCAACTGCCCTACAACAGCCGGGGGACTCCTGCCCCTGTAGAAAAAATCCACCATTCTTTTCCCCTTTGCTGCCTTGCTCACCACAGACAACTTTCCCAGAAAGTTCTCCTTGCTGCTGTCAGCAACTGTAGCACAAAGTTGAGATGATAAATGCCCTTCACTCTGTCATGGATGTGTCTGCATTTCTCCAGTTAGAGCTGTGGCCCTGGAGAATACTTTCCCTCTCATCCCTGCGGTGTCTGGAATGGAATTTTTAACATCCTAGAAATTTACCAAAGTAGTTTGTTGATTTTAGTCGTTTTAGAAAATGATTTCAAACAAAAACATCTGAATGGAAAGATAATACTTTCTGAATGTTTGGCAGGGTCCTGGATGGGTGATGGTTGTCATTAACATTTTTGATACTTACACAAAGTACACGTCACCTGTTGTTTCTCAGATGATCACATGGCAGCTGAGAAAGGTAAGCTGCCATATTTAATACAGCTACTATAGAAAGCTAACCCAGGCCACTCTGTCTATACAGTTCATATTTGTTCCTTGACTTCTGACTGCTGCCTTTGATCTGCAGAATAAGGACTGAATTGCATCACCATCAATGTGTACACACATTCAAGCCTCCATCTCCCTGAGCACTGCTCAGAGGCTTAAATCCTTAGCTATGAAAATGGTGCCTGCACTTGACTTGAGTTATTCTCCTTCGTCACTGACTTTAGCTACCTCTTCAGTGCTGTCACAGGCTGTCCCATCCTCCTTCCCTGGAGTAGTAGAAGTGCTTCTGGGCTCTAGATTCTGGGGAGTTTGGTGTTGGGGACTGTCAGGAAGTGCTCTTTCCTTCATCATAAACTTAGGCAAGGGGTGGGTGAGGCACCAGTGAATGGAGCCTTTGTCCTCCTGAAACCTTTAAGGAATAAAGATGAAATCCTGCAGAAGAGGCATGCTGGTGTCAGCCTGGGCAGGAGACGCAGGGCGGGGGCTTGGGGAATGGCAGCTAGTGAAGTGCAGGCTGGACTTGTGATCTGGTTCTCATTAGGTCTACTTGCAGGATGGCTTTGGGAAGAAACAAAGGCCCCCTTGAAATCTCTGCCTGAAATGGGGAGAGATTTTCATTTTCATTCCATTGGTGTTTCCAGGCGGCCTCTTGTTGGGCTTGGTCTTTATCCAGAATCCTTTTCTTGATGAACAGAGGGGAACTAGGCACACATGCTTGTAAGGAGGCTTGCGGAGCTTGGAGGGACTGGCCTATGGCTCCCAGAGCCTGTAGAAGTCAGTACTGCCTCACTGGGCTTGCTGAAGAGATGCAGAGGCCGGTGTGTGGTTCAGGTTGCTGCCCCTCATCATGTCTTTCCGTGTTAGTTCTGTGATTAAATAACAAATGAAAATCAAATCATGTACAGCAAAAACAGCAAAATGACTGGCTATTTGCTAAGTCCAGGGTCAGCTGGACCAGCTGCTGGAACTAGATAGAAGAGAGTGCCTAGCTCTCTGGGTTGCTTTTCTCCATTTCCTTCTCCACAGTCAAGTGGGGGCGGTGCCCGTGTGTACTTCCGGTTTTCAGAGTTGACTGTCATTGACTCTGATTGGGCTGGATTGGGTCACATGCCAGTCCCTAAACCAATCTGCTTCTCTGGGGAGATGCTGCACTCTGATTGGCAGGCAAAACCTGGAGATTAGCCTGGGAGTGGAGGGAGGGGTGACGGATAGGAGAGGTGCCAAGTGGATACTCTCTGCCTATCTCTGTCATGCCGAACCTACCCCAAATTACTGTTTTGACCCTGAACCATCTCTCATGGCCTTCTGTCCCTTGTGCTGCAGGGAACTACTGGAGACCACATGCCGCTTGGCCAACACACTGAAGAGACATGGAATCTCTCGAGGGGACCGTGTGGCGATCTACATGCCTGTTTCCCCACTGGCTGTGGCTGCAATGCTAGCCTGTGCCAGGATTGGAGCTGTCCACACGGTTATCTTTGCTGGCTTCAGTGCGGAGTCCCTGGCTGGGAGGATCAATGATGGTGAGCATATGGGAAGGAAGCCCCTTGTCTTTGTTCCTTGGGCCTGGCCATCAGGGGCTTAGACGTTAATAAAAGTCACACAGACAAATGACAGATACCACCAGGGACAGGGACATGGCTGAATGAGCATTTGTTCTGTGAGCTGAGATATGAGGGCAACGAAGTGAAGAAGGGAAGGAAGATTCCAAGTGGAGGGAACAGCTAGGTACCATATGACTGGTGAGAGGAGCACAGCTTGTGAGGGCTTGGAGGAGGCTCGCGTGGCTGTGGTGGAGAACTGAAAAAACATGTAGGGTGAGATAAGGCTGGAGATGTATGGGGAAGGTCTCACAGGTCAACAACTAGAAGACTTTTATCATGAGGGAGGGTGGGACGGGCTACTTCTGGAGGGCTGGAATCAGGTTGGGGCTTGTGGTACATCTTTAAGGCTTTCTGTCTACAGGTAGGTCAGAGTCTTCTGAACAGTGTGCAGAGCAATATTGTCGCCCTTCTTTTTCTGGTATGGGAGAGCTGAATGTATGGATGGTGACTCCATGTCTGCAAAGTCTGACACCTACTCCAGTGAGATCCTAGAGAGAGTCCTCTGAGCTGGCTGTTCTTTGTGTCTTACTGAAGACTTGCCTTTGGGTAGTGAACCTCTAGGGCAGAATTCTCAGACCCCTGCTGACTACCTTTAGGAAGGGCTGGGAAGGCTTTCTACTCTCTTTCTATGTCTCTCCTTCCACTTTCAAGGGTTGGTTCTGTCATTCATTTTTCATTCTCTCTTTAAACTTTGTAGCACTGACTGTGTGCCAGGCACTGTTCTAAACACTTTGCCAAGGTCATCTCCTTAAATTTGACTAACTTTGTCTTTAAAAATATGGTATGAGATAATACTCTATTTCTCCTTTTTCACATTTTTTATTACTGTTATTGCCATCCTAGAGTATACAGTTCATTGGCATTGAGCACATTCACAATGTTGTGCAAACATCATCACAATCTATTCCGAACCTTTTCCTCACCCTAAATTGACATCTTATACTCATTAATCAGGAGTTCCCTATTTCCCCCTCCACCCAACTCTGGAAACCACTAATCTTTCTGTGTCAATGACTTGCCTGTTCTGGATATTTCATATAAATGAACTCATATAATATGTGGACTTTTGTTTATGAGATTTCTTTCTTTTTTTTTTTTTACAAATAGTTTATTGTCAAATTAGTTTCTACATAACACTCAGTGCTCATCCCCAAAGTGCCCTCCTCCATGCCCATCCCCCCCTCCCCCCCACATCCATCAGTCCTCAGTTTTTGTCAGCATTCAAGAGTCTCTCATGGTTTGCCTCTCTCCCTTTCCCCCACCATTTCCGCCCTTCTTCTCCCCCTTGTTCCTCCGTCAAGTTCCTCCTAATCCTCCTATACGTGCAAACATAGGATATTTGTCCTTCTCTGCCTGACTTATTTCGCTCAGCATAACACCCTCAAGGTCCATCCATGTTGCTACACATGGCCAGATTTCATTGTTTCTCATTGCCATGTAGTATTCCATGGTATAGATAAACCACATCTTCTTGATCCATTCATCTGTTGATGGACACTTAGGCTCTTTCCATGTTTTAGCTATTGTGGAGAGTGCTGCTATGAACATTGGGGTACATGTGCTCCTATGCATCAGCATTTCTGTATCCCTTGGGTAAATTCCTAGCAGTGCTATTGCTGGGTCATAAGGGAGTTCTATTGTTAGTTTCCTGAGGAACCTCCACACTGTTTTCCAGAGGGGCTGTACCAGTTTACATTCCCACCAACAGTGTAGGAGGGTGCCCGTTTCTCCACATCCTCGCCAGCATCTAGAGTTCTCTGATTTGCTCATTTTAGCCACTCTGACTGGCGTGAGGTGGTATCTCAGTGTGGTTTTGATTTGTATTTCCCTGATGAGGAGGGATGCTGAGCATCGTTTCATGTGTCTGTTGGCCATCTGGATGTCCTCTTTGGAGAAGTGTCTGTTCATGTCTTCTGCCCATTTCTTCACTGGGTTGTTTGTTTTTCGGGCGTGTAGTTTGGTGAGTTCCTTATAGATTCTGGATATTAACCCTTTATCTGATATGTCATTTGCAACTATCTTTTCCCATTCCGTTGGTTGCCTATTAATTTTCTGGGTTGTTTCCTTGGCTGTGCAGAAGCTTGTTTATGACTTCTTTCACTACTCATAATGTTTTCAAGATTCATCCATATTGTAGCATGTATTATTGCTTCATTAATTTTTTCCATAAGTAAAATTTCACTGTATGAATATATCATGTTTTGTTGATCTATTCATCTACTGATGGACATTTGACTTGTTAACACTTCTTGGCTATTGTGAATAGAGCTGCTGTGAGCATTCATGAGAACATCTGCTTTCAATTTTTTATGTATATACCTAGGAGTAGAATTGCTGGCACATATGGTAAATCTATATTTAACTTATTTAGGAACGACAAAACTATTTTCCAAAGTTGCTGTTCTCTCAATACATTCCCACTAACAATGTATGAAGGTTCTTCCTCATCAACATTTGTTATTTTACTTTTAAAAAAAAATTATTGGGACACCTGGATGGCTCAGTTGGTTAAGCATCTGACTCTTGATCATAGCTCAGGTCTTGATCTCAGGATCATGAGTTCAAGCCCCACATTGGAATCTGTCCTGGATGTGAAGCCTACTTAAAAAATTTAGCGGCACCTGGTGGCTCAGTCGGTTAAGCATCCGACTTTGGCTCAGGTCATGATCTCTCAGTTTGTGGGTTCAAGCCCCATGTTGGGCTCTGTACTGACAGCCAACTCAGAGCCTGGAACCTGTTTCATATTCTGTGTCTCCCTCTCTTTCTGACCCTCCCCTACTCATGCTGTCTCCCTCCCTCTCTCTCTCTCTCTCTCTCTCTCTCAGAAGTTAAAAAAAAAACATAAAAATTTATAGCCATCCTAGTGGTTTTGAAGTGGTATTTCATTATGGCTTTGGTTTGCATTCCAAACTAATATCACTGAGCATTTTTTCTTTTTTTTAAATTTTTTAATGTTTATTTATTATTGAGAGACAGAGAGAGACAGAACGTGAGCATGGGAAGGGCAGAGAGAGGGGGAGACACAGAATCTGAAGCAGGCTTTCGGCTCTGAGCTGTCAGCACAGAGCCCAATGTGGGGCTTGAACTCACAAATCATGAGATCATGACCTGAGCTGAAGTTGGTGCTCACTGACTGAGGACCCAGGCACTCCTCACGGAGCATCTTTTCATGTGCTTGTCTGTTAGTATGTCTTCTTTGGTGAAATGTCTACTTAAGGCCCTTGTCATTCTTTAAATTGGCTATTTGTCTTTTTGTTGTTGAGTTGTAAGAGTTCTCTCTATATATTCTGGATGCTAGATCTTTATCAGATTTATAATGTGCAATGATTTTTCTCCCATTTTGTGGGCTGCTTTTTCATTCTATCCATAGTGTCCTTTGATGCACAAAAGTTTTTAATCATGATGAAGTCTAGATCATCTGTTTTTTCTTCTGTTTTGTGTGGTTTTAGTGTATCATTTAAGAATACATTACTGACTCCAATGTCACAAAGATTTGTCTCTATGTTTCTTCTAAAAGTTTTATGGCCTTAGCTTTTATATTTAGGTCTTTTATCCAATTTGAGCTCATTTGTTGTGTATGATGTGAGATCCAACTTCATTCTTTTGCCTCTGAGTATCCAGTGGTACCAGTACCATTTGTTGAAAAGATTTTTTTTTCACCTCATTGGATGACTTTGGCACATTGTCAAAACTAATTTATCTCATATGTGAGGGCTTATTTCTGAGTTCTTTCTTCTATTCCAATAATCTGTATATCTGTCTTTGATTTTCATATGTCAAACCACCCTTGCATTCCAGGAATAAATCCCCCTTGGTCATGATGTGTAATCCTGTTAGTATGCTATTAGATATAGTTTACTGGCATTTTGTTGAGGCGTTTTACATCAGTGTTCATAAGGGGTATTCATCTATAGTTTTGGTTTTTTTTCCTTGTGAAGTGTTTGTCTGACCTTGGTATCAGGGTAATTCTGGCCACATAGAATTAGTTAGAAAGTGTTTCCTCCTCTGCAGTTTTTGGGAAGAGTTTGAGGAAGATTGATGTTAATTTGTCTTTAATATTTATTAAATACTTAATATTTAAATATTCGGTAGAATTCTTTAAATATTTGGTAGAATTCACCAATAATACCATCTGGTCCTGGGATATTCTTTGTTGGGAGGCTACTGTTTTTGAAGATAAGGAGACTGAGGCACAGAGACGTTAATTGACTTGCCCAAGGTTACATTGCTAGTTAGTGACAGAGCCAGGATTTGAATCCAGGCATTGGGCCACCAGAGTTTGTGCTTTTAGCATTACACTAGACTGCTTCTTTTCTCTCTTGATGATATGGTCATGGTTGCCAAGTGTTTCTGTTAAGATTCTTTATTTTATTTTTTTAGATGTTTTATTTTTTATTTATTTGTTTATTTTTTTAAATTTTTATTTTGAGAGAGAATGTGAGTAGGGGAGGGGCAGAGAAAGAGGGAGAGAGAATCCCAAGCAGGCTCCACATCATCAGTGTGGAGCCCAATGTGGGGCTCAAACTCATGAACCATGAGATCATGACCTGAGCTAAAACCAAGAGTTGAACGCTTAACCAACTAAGCCACCCAGACACCCCTATTTTTTTTTATTTTTTTGAAAGACACAGAGAGAGCACAAGTGAATGAGGGGCAGAGAGAGAAAGAGAGAGAGAGAGAGAGAGGGAGAAAGAGAGAAGCAGGGCTCACCCAAAGTGGGGCTTGTGCTCACTTGAAGCAGGGTTCGACCTTACCCAATGCAGGACTCCAACTCACAAACCGTGAGATCATGACCTGAGCTGAAGTCAGATACTTAACTGACTGAGTCATCCAGGTACGCTAAGATTCTTTAAAACAAGCAAAAGCAGTGGGCCCTGGAGCTTTAGTAGCTGGGTGCTGGAACAGGTCCAAGAACTTCAGGAATCCTAAACAACAGGCCATGGAAGGGCAGGGGCCAGGTCATATCTGAAGCCCTCAGCAGGGGAAACTCCTATAAGTTTTTTCTAGAACTTAACATTAAGAGGCTCTTACCCAACACCTCCTTGCACATCTGTTCAGGTGTCCGTTTCCAGGGCAAGACTCTACCGGGACAGGTGTTTATGTTCTCTTGGGTCAATGAGGGTTTGTGTGGGTTTTTTTTTTTTCATCATTTATTGCTGTGTAACAAACTACTCTAAATCTTAGTGCTTAAAACAATAAATTTTATTATTATATTTCATGATACTGTGGGAGCAGGAATGAAATGGGCTTAGTGAGATGTCTTTTTTCTGCTCCACATAATCTGGGATATAAACTGGGTTGGCTTACATGATTGGAACCTGCCAAGCATCTCTTTAATGTGGCTTGTTTGCATGACTAACTTAGACAACCTCAGGCAGTCAGACTTATTACATGATGGCTCATGGTTCCAAGAGGAAGGAAGTGGAACCTGCCCTAAAGGCAAGTCCAGAATACATATGGCACCATTTTGCTGTATTCCATTGGTCCAACCAGTCTGGCCATTCTAAATTCAAGGGAAGGAGACCAAGACTCTATTTCTCCTTTTTGTAACTATCTTTAATCCATCACTGGGAGGGACAGGGTGAGAGTGTGAGCATGGCCACCAGAGTCTCATCATTAGCTAGGCGTGGCAACCTCAGTCAGTGTGTTCTAGTCTAAAGTTTCTGTCTTCCTGGCCTGGCGTCCAGGCTCTGACCACTCCTCTTATCATTATGTTCTCTCTTGATTTAGGCTGTGTGAGAAATAGAGAGAGAGGACAGTATGGTGCAGAGGGTAGAGGACAGGAGGATGGTTCTGAGAAGCTGTGGGTGGGGGCAAATAATGGCCACCACAGACGTCCACACCCTCAAAACCTGGGAATATGTTACCTTACATAGCAAAAGGCCTTGGCAGATGGGATGGGTCCTAAAATGTGGAGATTATCCAGGTGGGCCCAATCTAACCAGGGAGTTCTCCTCCCTGGAAGGTGGAGAACTTTCTCTGGTTGGAGGCAGAGGACATGTGGCAGAAGGGAAGGTCAGAGCATAAGAAGGACTTGACCTGCCTTTGCTGGCTTTGAAGATAAAGAGGGTCATAAGCCAGGGGATGTAGGTTGCTCTAAAACCTGAGAACAACCCCTCGCTGACAGCAAGGAAAATGGGGACATGGGGACCTCAGTCCTACAGTTACATGGAGCTGAGTTCTGCCAACACCTGGAATAGCCTGGAAGCAGACTTTCCTCCAAAGCCTCCGGATAAGAGCTCTGCCTGCTGACATCTTGATTTTGGGCATGAGATTCCAAGAAAAGAACCCTATCAAGCTCATCTAGACTAGAGAACTATGAGCTAAATTATGGGTTTTCCAGACTACCAAGTTTGTGGTAATTGGCTATGCAAGCAATAAAAAACGAAGACAGATGCCAATACCTACTCAAAAACCAGGGAAGTAAAATTGAGGCTTCCCAGATAATGTGTCATGCTGATCTGACCTGTGCCCTAATGCTGTACATGTACCCTGTACCCATCACCCAGCCTTGGTGGGGAACCACACAGTGAGCTGTGCTCCCCAAGCACCTCTTAGGGACTGGGTATATGCATGAAGGCTCCTGCTCTGGAGAACTATTTGGGCAGCAAGCCTTGGACAAATGAGTGCCAGGAGCAAGGCATGTGCCATGGGAGCCTGCAGAGGGGCCATAACCCACATAATGTGATTCTAATACCTGGGATGGGCTGGGGCCACTACTTTCTCCTGGGGGATCCTGAGCTTTCTTTGTCACCTCCTTGAGTATGGTCTCTTTCTACCTGCTGGATCATCTCTCTTCCTGCCCCACAGAGAATTTACCTGGACCAATTCTAGCTCCTGGGAATTCTGCCCAGCTGATTTTGTTTCCCTAGGGTGATCGATGGCCAAGGCCTGAGGAGCAAAGAGTATGCAGCTGGGGACCCCTGGTGTGCAGAGCTGGATGACATTGCCCTGGGCATTGCAAACACTCTGTATCTCTCTGACCCCTGGGTGATCCAGAGAAGGGCTGAGAGAATGCTTAGGTGGTCCTCAATGTCATGTCATCTCTAGTACCCTTGTGAGGAAGAAAGAATGAGTATGTTGCTAGAAGGCACTTTCACACTGAAAAGCTGAAGGAGATTGGTGACTCAGGGCTCCCATAGAAGCAGATCCTGAGATGAGAGTTCAGGGTAGCCAATTCATTTGGGAGGTGGTCCTGGGAAGCACTGTAGGGTGGTGGGGAGTGGGGCTGGGAAGAGGAATCCACCAGACCAGCATCCACAGTGGGTGCCTGGAGCTCAGTCCCTCAGGGAGCCCCGGGAGGTGATGGAACCACATGTGTCAGGATGGGCACCTGAGGGATGAGGGAGCTGTTCTGGGCTCTTCCTTAGGGACCAGTAATAGAATAGCCCACTGCAGCCTTGATCCCTCTGGGTCATCCCAGGTTGAGGCACAATGTTGGTGGTTGGGGGTCATTGCTTTGCCTGTGGTTCTGATGCCTAGTTTGTATCTCTACCTGATACTTTGCTCTGGGCCTCACCCTAGGTCAGCTGTGGAAGCTTGGGTCTTCACTGCAATGCCTTGGGCCTGGTCAAGCCTAACCAGGTTGTTGAAGAACAGGTGTGAATCCCGGAGTGCCTTCTGTTAAAGGCAAGGGTAGGGGCTGGTAGCTTCTGGCACCCATTGGAGTGTGGCCTCTATTTTCTGGGTAGTGAAGCCTCTTGACCCTGGATAGGGCAGGGGCCACACAGGACATGTTGGGGCTTGGTCTCCGGCTGCCCAGCTTTCTTGATCTCTGCATCTTAATGTTGCTTTGCCACCATGGTGGCTGTGGCCTCTCACCCAGAGAAGCTCCCAAGGCAGGTGGGAGGCAATGGTGGAAGTCTCTCCTTCAGAGCTGGGAAAAGGCCTGGCACTTCTGCATTGAGCACAAAGATTGCAAAGCAGGAAGACGCCCTCCCCCCACATTTTGCTGACTCTTACTCAAGAATGGAGTTTGTGTATCACACTCTTAGGCCTGGACTGTATGGCTGTCAGTCTGGGATGTGAGGGTCATAGTGGGAAGGAAACTGACCAGAAATGCCTGTTTGTCTCCATTAGCTAAGTGCAAGGTGGTCATCACCTTCAACCAAGGACTCCGGGGAGGGCGTGTGGTAGAGCTGAAGAAGATAGTGGATGAAGCTGTGAAGCAGTGCCCGACCATCCAGCATGTTCTGGTGGCTCACAGGACAGACAACAAGGTCCACATGGGGCATCTGGACATCCCCCTCGAGCAGGTAGGTTTGTCTCATTTTGTACAGTTTGAGGGGGAGAAGTAATTATTGGGTTTAACTGGGTTTGAGTCACGTCAGATCATGGTTCTCACCCTGGGTTCCCCAGAGATGTTCAGGGTTCCCTGATCATATCTGATGGATTTGTATCCTGGTTGGGAAGATGGAACTCAAATACCACAAACACACTGAAACACTTAATGTAACAGAAATGATTGGATTCTTCCTTTTATTTTGTGTTCTCTCTGCACCTGGAGTTGAACTAGAGCAGAGTAGAGCAGGTGAACTGAATCCGGGTGCTGATTCCTGTAGCAGCTGGGTGAGAGGTGTTCTCGGGATGGGTGAATGGGGGGCAGAGGGTAACTGCCATGAATGGGGCTGTTTGTGTCTTCCTCTTTCCAGGAAATGGCCAAGGAGGACCCTGTGTGTGTCCCAGAAAGCATGGACAGTGAGGACATGCTCTTCCTGCTCTATACCTCAGGGAGCACTGGAGTACCCAAGGGACTCGTCCACACACAGGCGGGCTACCTGCTGTACGCCGCTCTGACGCACAGGGTACAGGCTCTGGTGGGGAAGTTCAAGGGTGCTGTGCATCATACCTCCTGGGCAGGGCTCTGGGCAGGGGGCCAGGAGAGGCTGGATTTAGGGCTAGAACTCCTGCTCTAACATAATGCCCAAATGCATGAGGTGCTAATATTTCTTCTCGTGTGTTCAGGAGCAGGGCAGCTGTGAGTTGTGGCACTGGCATAGTGAGTGGGTGGGCACGGGGGCTGAGTTCTGTACGTGTTGGGAGACTCTGGGTCTCAAATTTGAGGCTCACTGTAGGTCTTTAGCTCCTTTGCACCTGTGTCCGTGCTGTCTGCTTGCTCTGCAGGAGCTGAGCCCTCCCCTTGTCTGACACATGGCACAGCTGCGATCTGATGCTCAGGGGCCCAGGTGCTGAGGCCTTCCTGGGCCCCTCCCTCCCTAAAAAAATGTCAAAACTCATGTTTTATAACTGAGCTGGTATAGAGAATGTGTTACTATTACATATTAAAATGTTTTCTTCTATTTAAAAGTTTTTCTCCCCTTCTGATGTTAAAAGAAAGTAAAACATTTTTTTTAATTTTAAAAAATTTATTTATTTTGAGATTGGAGGGAGGAGGGGTAGAGAGAGAAGGGGCAGAGAGAATCCATGCTGACAATACAGAGCCTAAGGGGCTCTATCTCACAAACCATGAGACCATGACCTGAGCTAAAATCAGGAGGTGGACACCTAACTGACTGAGCTACCCAGGTGCCCCTGGGGCCACATTTTAAAAGTAAAATTAGAAAAAGACTTAGTTTTGTAAGGAAACTTAAATTCAGTATATGGCAATTATATTAGAGTGGACCATTTTCTAGGGCCTATAAAGCAGATGATATGGCATGTTTTTTTTTTTTTTATTGCAATAAATGTATTTAAAAAATCAGTTCTGTTCTGGGGCCACCTGGGTGGCTCAGTCAGTTAAGCATCAACTCTTGATTTCAGCTCAGGTCATGATCTCATGGCTTGTGGAATTGAGCCACATTCAGTGTGGAGTCTGCTTGGGATTTTCTCTCTCCCTCTCTCTCTACCCCTCCCCTGTTTGCATTCACTGTCTCTCTCAAAATATAATAATTAAAAATTTAAGAAAATAAAAAATAAAAATTGGTACTGATTTGAATGTCAGCGGGTTGTGGGGATTGTGGTTTAATGTGGCATCCCCGGTCACTTGGATAGTAGTTAGCACTTCCCAGGTAGGATTTGGTTTCAAGACAGTGTTTATAGACCTCTCTGTTGCAGAAGGTGAAACTGAGAACTGACTAGCCAGGTGACTAGCAAGCCCGAGCCCATCCAAGAAGGGCTCGGACTTTGGTCCTGGGTGGTGGCATCTCTCCTGCCTTGGCCCCCTTCCTCTGTGTTGACCACATTCCTCCCCGGGGACTGGAGAAAGCCTAATAGTCTCAGCAAAATCACTAGCCTGGTTGCCATCCAGGGCCCCATTCTGACTCAGTCACTGTGGCCAAGGGTGGGGGTGGAATGTGCTCATTGGTTAGGCTTGATCACGTGGGAGGTGAACCTCATGAAATGAATGGCAAGGAGCAGGTGCTGGGAGGCATGTAGCAAGCATGCACTCTGTGCATGACACAGTCTCTGAGTGGTGCTGCACTAGTCCCACTGATGGCTACTCACACCTAGGACTAACAATGTTGAAAGTGAGCCAGACAGACAGATGTGGTACCAAACCAGGCTGAGCAGACAAGGTAATACCTGAATTCAAATCCATATTAGAACAGTTGTATTCTGACTGTTGGTGACCTTGAGCTTGCTACAGAACATTTCTTGACCTCAGTGTTCTCAACTAGAAAGCCCCACCCCTCCTCAGCTCTTGGTGTTGGGAAGAAGTTTGGAAGGATTGACACATCATGTAAATAAAAATACTTTTGAAAATATAGCTATTGAGACTAAATACCAAGAAAGTCACAGAGTAGGTCAAATTGTTTCCACCAGTTTATGATGAAGTTAACATTAGGGAAGCTGTAAATGTGGAGAGAGATTATTTTTTGGTAATAATAATTACCAAAATTGTTGGAGGACCCAGTCTATATGAGCAGAAGCAGTTGGGAGTATAGGGATGGGACCATCTTTTGAATTTCTCTTCAATAAGAATTTTTTTTTTAAGAATTACGAATGGAAACTTTGAGCCTTCTGTAGATGAAAGTATGCACAGCTGTGGTTCTCCAGGGGATAAGGACAGTTGGCTCTGAAGGGTGTGAAAGAGATTTTGGAGGTATGCAGTAAGGTCAAGCCCTTTGGAGCATGGCTGGCCCCAGGCATTTGCTCCCCTTCCCAGAACTGCAGGGAGAGAAATCTCCAGTCCATGAAAGACTTGGCAATTTGGGTCCAAGTTGTATTAAAAATCTTTTCGGTCCCACATGCTATGGGGCTTTGGGTGTGGGCATCCTGATGCTTCAGTGCTGTGAAAGCAAAGTCCTCCTTGAAAAAATCCCCCAACCTCCGCCTTGGGACACAGTTGCATAGGGCACTGGCCATCTCCAGACCACTATACTTTGTGGAGACACCTGAGGATTCTCTGCATTCATATGTGACAGCAAGAAACTGGTCCACTTGCCCAAAGTTTGAAAAGAAATCAAAATAGAATACAGAATAGAATCTAGAAAACACACAAATCCTATCTGTAGCTTACTGAATTATTATTATAAGGCAACCCCACTTCAGTCAAGGAGTCCAAGTGATGAGGGGCGCCTGGGTGGCTTAGTCGGTTGAGCGTCCGACTTTCGCTTAGGTCATGGTCTCGCGGTTTGTGGGTTCGGGCCCCACGTCGGGCTCTGTGCTGACTGCTGGCTCAGAGCCTGGAGCCTGTTTCAGTCTGTGACTCCCTCTGTCTCTGACCCTCCCCTGCTCACGCTGTCTCTCTCTCTCTCCTAGAAATAAATAAAACATTAAAAAAAATTTTTTAAGAAGTCCAAGTGATGAATCACTGGGTTCTACTCCTGAAACCAATACTACACTGTATGTAAACTAACTTGAATTTAAATAAATTAATTAAAAAACAAAAACATGGAGTGGAGGAATGTCCCCGCCACCTCACAGAAGCTCTTCCCTGCCTGTCTGACCACAGCCCCTCCCCCATACCCTGACTTTCATATGTGTCACTGCCCTTTGTTTCCCCTCTTCTAGCTTTTCACCTAACATGCATCCCCTGATACTGTAGCTTACTCTTTGCCCACTGACTTTTTTTTGGTATGTCTTTTAAGCCTTTTTTAAACCTGTTCTCTTCCATCCATTCCGTTTCCTTAAACTTTGTTGTTAACACCCAGAGATTTGTCCCTCTGATCTCTGTGTTTCCTGCAAAGGGGCATTTGGATCCAGAGGTGGATCAGGCTCAAGTTGGACCCTGTGGCAAGAATGCAGGAGACACATATGTCTCCCTGCTCAGGCTCTCAGAAACTGATGATGCTTGAGGCATTTCTTGGTCCTTTTGGCTTTCATGTTTTTGTTGTTGTTGCAATTTTTGAGATTTAAAAAATTGTGGTATAACTTAATACAAAAAGGTGCCCTTATTTTGGACATATGACTAGACAAGCCTCTACCTGTGGGTACACACGTGGTCACCACCTGCATCAGGACTTGGGGTGTCTCTAGCTCCCAGAGGTGCTGACACGCCGCTGGTAGGCAGCCCCCCAGCAGGGCCAGTATTAACATGACCTCCAGGATACAGATCAGCTTTGCTGGTTTGGGGCTCATACAGTATACACCTAAGGTCTGGCTTCTTTCATTATCATCTGTGAGAGTCCACGTGTTGTGTGTGGCAGTACTCTGTCTTGTCACTGCTGTAGCTTCACAGAGCCCTGGTGGTACACTTATTCTTCCTGCTCTGGTGGCTTTGGGAACAGCTGTGTCTTGCATTTATAGAACTCTCTTAGTGATATGGGGTTCTCTTAGAACATGGGGTGACAGGCTCCTGACAACCTCTCTTCCTGTTTCTGCAGCTTGTGTTTGACTACCGGCCAGGTGACGTTTTTGGCTGTGTGGCTGACATTGGCTGGATCACAGGACACAGCTACGTGGTATATGGACCTCTGTGCAATGGAGCGACCACTGTTCTTTTTGAGAGCACCCCGGTTTACCCTGATGCTGGTGAGGACTGGGGACCCAAACAGGGTCCCCAGGAGGAAGCTTGAGAAAGGAGGAGAAGTTCACAGGAGGGTGGAGTAGATTCCCTCACTCTGGCCCAGCTGTGGTCCTTGTGGTCATGTGGCATAGCTGCCAGGCCTTTGGCTCTGCCAGGTGGGCTTGGGGCCAGGGGCCATGTCTGCAGTAAGATCAGATAAGCAATAGATGGGAGTCGAATTTTTCACTGGAAGCCGTCTCAGGACAACCCCCTCCAGAGTTCCTGTCCCTCTAGCAAACTGGGTGCCTTGGGTCATCCCCTTAGCACTGTCCCTCTCCCCTCTCTGGCCGCCTGACCAGATCCTGCCCTTCCTCGACACCCATGCCAGCTTCCAGCCTCCTGTTATCCCAGACAGGGGTGGGGGGAGGACTTTCTCCAACTTTGCTGCCTGTGTCTTCAGGGACATCTGTCAGAGAGCATTGTCCACCTCCATGAATTGAGATTGCTTTGAGGACCTACACCTTGCTCACCTTGGCATCTCTTTTTTCAGGCAATACAGAGCCCCAAGTATTTGTTGTAATTCAGTTGAATTGTGGTGGCCCTGTTCCACAGTGCTTATAATGATGTGTGTAGAACTTCTTTGTCACCTCCCCTGCTCCTCTCCAGCCTCCTGATGGACTAGGTACATGCTAGGAAGAATGTGTAGGGGGCATAGCGAGGGATTAAGGGCCACACCTTGGGTGTGATCTCAGGCACGTCACTTCAGCCCCTCGAAGCTCAGCCCATTCCATGTGTAGAGCCATGGTGGTGAGTTGAGGGGGATTGTGGGAAACCAGGTATGTGTGTGTGCTGGACAATTGCCCTGCTCCCCAGGGCTCACTCAGTGGTGGCCACTGCTATTCCAGGGGAAGCACCTGTCACCACCTTAGAGACATTTAAGTGTGAATACAAGTTCTATGTTAGTGCTACATGGGTTATTTTTAAAATTCACAGTGATATCCCTTTGAATCAATCCTTGCTATATCTTGTGGGATATACCATGTAGATGCAGCCAGCCAAAGCCAGGGGAAGGCTGTTACCAAATGCACCAGCCTTGGATGTGGGGTGTGCTGGGAGATGATTGCCACAGGGAACCCTTTCTCAGAGGTCTCCCTTCTGATCCCAGTGATGGGTGTTGGATTCCGTTTCTGTAAATACAGGAGTTTGCATGGATCCAACACACAGTAACTGTTGTCTGATTTCTAAATAAGCTAAAATAGATACTATCTAGTGGGCTCAGACTGACAGTGAACTTGGGCCTTTTTGTAGGTCGATATTGGGAGACAGTACAGAGGTTAAAGATCAACCAGTTCTATGGAGCCCCAACGGCTGTCCGGCTGTTGTTGAAATATGGCAACTCCTGGGTGAAGAAGTATGACCGCTCCTCCCTGCGGACCCTGGGGTCAGGTGAGTGGCCTGCTGTGCTGCTGGAGAGGTTGTGTGCCATGTGGTAGAGCCAGTGTAGGCTTCAAGCAGTTTTAATTATGAAAGCTGCGTGGCTGTGGCTGTGGCTGTGGTGACTTCAAGCAGTGTGCCTGGCTGAATAGAGCGCTTCCTGGAACCCCCAGGTGATAACAATCTGGAGCACAACATTCCAGATGTTTCTGTACCTGAGTTCTGTGCTTCTTCTTTATTATGAAAACTCCCCAACCTGGTATGATGGTCCAAGCCCTACTTCAGTGGCCACATGGGACTACCCAGTGTAGGAACTGACTGGATTGCTAAGGTGTTCCTCTGTTGCTTGGTGCCACATAGTCCCAAGGACTGTAATCAACATCAATTTGTGCTTGTGTGCTGTTCCTGCTTTAGATCTTTACAAGGCAAGGAGTTATGAGATCAATGGTTATATCCATTTATAATTTTGATAGATGTCACCAAGTCACATGGAAGCATTTGGGAAAGGTGATGTGGTGTCAGTTCATATGGTACCAGTGGGGTGGAAGGTACCCATGCCTGTTCTCTCTCTCTCTTCCTGATTCATTTCATTTCTGCCCTTACACATGTTGTCAGTAGGCAAAACAAGGGCAGCTAGGCCTTCTGTGCTCCTTGGTGAATACTTGGATCTGCTTGGTGGTTTTCACAGAGGAAGCATGTAGGGCAGGTACCACAAGGGACGTGTCTTGCTGTCAAATATGTCCACGGAAAGGGAGCTCAGGACAGCATGTGCATGTCACTCATCAGTGGCGTAGGTATATAGTGCTGTTACAGGTCTCAGGGCTCTGGTTCACTCGTCTCCCCTTGCCTGAAATGTGCCCCTCCCCATCTCTGTGGATTCCAACCTTCTCTCAAGACCATCTCTGTGCACCTTCTCCCTGTGGAGTTCCTGAGCTCCTCTGGACCTTGGGCTCTCTTTCTTCAGACAACTCCGTATTCTATACTTGGATATCTGTTCTCATGCTAATTGTTTCACTGGGCAGTGAGCTCCCAAAAGTCACACCCATTGGTATCCTCAGCATCCGCGTGCCCACACACAGGGAAACACAGCAGGTCAGTGAGGGTTGACTACTCATTGGGAAGCTGAGTTGCAGGACCAGGAACAGAAGGCTCAGATTCGTGCTGAGAGCTCAACACCCACATGCTGGCATCTCCAGGGCAGTTGCTACCTAGCAATGCTGCTTCCCACTACAGATGGCCTGAGTCTCTGCCTGGGATACCTGTTTTCATGTGCCTAGCTCTATCCTACTCAGGGCCTCCCTCATGATTGGGGTCAGTTGGTGTCTGTATGACCAAGTGCTGTGAATTTTCCAGATGGGGTCAGCAGAAAGAGTTTTGGGCTCTTTTCTAGATGGTGGTGAGTTTGAGATGCCTCTTGTGGCATGTTTAGGTTATGGAGGGTGACTTTGTGTGTTTACTGGGGGCTGTGTGGATGGAGAAGGCCTGCCCTCCATAGCACAGGGGCTGTGTTGTGCCCCTGCACACTGGGCTGGGCAGTGCTTGGGGACTAAGGGCAAGCAGAGGGCCACAGAAACTCACTCAGATCCTCCAGGTACCATTTGCAGGCCTCCTGAGTGCCCAGGAGTTAGGCTAGTGGTGAAGGGAGGTTTGATTTTCTAGATGCACTCATGGGATTCAATTGCTATAGAAGACTGACTAGGGCCCCCAATGATAAGGCATGTGCTCTGAGCACTTCAGAAGGAGGTGCTCATCAGCTGTATTAGAGTGGGGGTGCACGTCCCATCCAAAAGCTGCCTCAGCCAGGCATCCCCTAGGCCAGATGTGGCCCTCTCTTCACTTCCTCTCTTGGATCAGGCCCAGAACCTCTGTACCAGGGAGCACACACAGAGGCTTGGCCAGGCTCTGTGTATTCTTCTGGTCCCATGGGCACATTCCTGCCATGTAATGAACACCACCAGCGGAGCCCTTCAGGGGTTTCTTTGGGACCTGCTTATCAATAATAAGCAGGGCTGGCAGGCAGGTTAAACAGTACCTGGCATCTCCTTGTACCAGCAAAAGAGAAGTAGCGCCATGGACTAGGAGGCTTCATGCCTTGGCCAGAGCCAGTGTGGTGCTGGTCTCTACTGTAGTTCCATAGCTCAGGCTGCCTCCATGTGGCTGAATTAGCCCCCACGGCACCCCAGGCTTTGGATGCATTGACTTCATTTAATCTGACCAGTCAGCAGAATCTGACTTTACTCAAGACTTTAACACCACAATTTGTATGATTTTTTTTTTTAACTTTCAGTTTCACAAGTGACATTCTTGCTGGGGAAAAAAAATTGGAACATGGTAATGAAAGCTTATGTCTTCTGTGAGTGCTGCTCCAGGCAGCCCTGTTGCCTGTGCGCCTTCTGATGCCTTCTTCACAGTTACATTACTGTGAAAGACACAGCTCGGTTCCAAGATGTTTTCTTTCACATGAACAAGATCAAACTGTGCTATTATCCTATGTTTATTATAACTCAGCAGCATGCAGTTTTCCATATGGCTCTGCTGTGCTTTGAGAATTTGATTTTACCCTTGTGTGGGGCTGCCATGGGTATGGTCCTGTAGTCACGCCCTTGTGGTTATGTATCTGGGCTGTTGGCAGTTTCTCAGTATATGGGCCAGTGCTGCATGGTATCTTCTGGCCTCCCTGCAGGTGTGGGTGAGTGCGGGGGCAATGCACACAACACACAACACCCGTGTGGCCAACATGGGGGGCCCTGGCCAGGTCAGGCCTTGGTTACTTGCTGCACTTGGTTTGTCCTGAGCAAGAGACAGCCAGCCTAAGAGAATTTCACTGTTTTAGCAGCGGTATGTCTAAGCCGATGAGTTCTGGCTGAATGCCAGTCTTGTATGGGCATTTCATAAGGGTGGTAGCTTAGCCCTTTGGCCTGTTATAACAAAACACCACTGGCTATAAACAACAGGGATTTATTTCTCACAGTTGTGGAGGCTGGGAAGTCCAAGATCAAGGTGCCAGCACGATTGCCTTCTGGTGAGGGCCCTCTTCCTGATTCATAGATGGTACCTTCTCCCTGTGTCCTCACATTGTCCAATGTGAGGAGAGGGGTCTGGGTGGTCTGTTTTATAAGGGCACTAAACCCATTCCTGAGGGCTTTATTACCTCCCAAAGGCCTTACCTCCTAAGACTATCATCTTTGGGAGTTAAGATTTTGACATATGAAATCTTGGGGGTACACAGACATTGAGGTCATGTCAAATAGACCCTGATGTAGAAATCAGGCATAGTATGCAAGCTTGTGTGTGTGTGTGTGTGTGTGTGTGTGTATACAGTTGTTACACATAAGCATATTTGTGTGTATATGTGTGTGTGTGTGTGTGTGAGTGTATATATATATATGTATACATACACAGTTGCTATATACACGTATAGTTGAACTTTGAGCAACACAGGTTTGAACTGGGTGGGTCTATTTATACATGGATTTTTTTTCAATAGATGCAATACAGTACTGTAAATGTATTTTCTTTATGATTTTCTTAATATTTTCTTATTTCTTGCTTACTTTATTCTAAGAATACAGTATAGAATACATATAATACGCAAAATATGTGGTAATTGACTATTTTTGATGAGGCTTCTGCTCAAAAGTAAGCTATTAATAGTTAAGTTTTAGGGGGGTTAAAGTTGTACCAATTTTTGGTGGCATGGGGGGCTGGTGCCCCTAATCCCTGCATTGTTCAATGATCGATTGTGCCTATGTATATAAAACCACCACCCAGATCAAGCCATAGAAATTTCAAGACCTCAGAAGGTTTTCTTTATGGTCCCTCCCAGTCAGTAATCCCCAGCCACACCACTGTTGGACCACTCTCAGCATGGGTTGATTTCTTGAACTTCATCCACCTGGGCTCATGGGACGTATGCCACTCTTGTGCCTGCAGTGCCATGAGTCTCAGGTCAGCCCTGAGTGTATGGCTGTGGTTTGCTTGTTCTCATGCTGTTTATCACGTGAATATACCATAATTTATTTTCTCATTTTACTCTTGATGGCAGTTTTGTTTCTAAGCTGTGATCATTCTTGTATGTGAGCCCTTTTGGTGGACATATGCATTCTTTTCTGTAGGGTGTACAGTGGGAGTGACATTTTTGAATAGGATAAATTTATGTTTAGATGTAGTGGATTCCACCGCAGTCTCCTAAGTAGTTGTACCAGGTGTATGAACTTTTATTTTTTAATTTTAAAATGTTTATTATTTATTTTTGAGAGTGAGAGAGCATGCATACACTCTAGTGGGGGAGGGGCAGAGACAGAGAGGAACAGAGGATCCTAAGCAGGCTCCAGGCTGACAGCAGGGAGCCTGATACGGGACTGGAACTCATGAACTATACAAGACCATGAAGTGAGCCAAAGTCACTTAACTGACTGAGCCACCCAGGTGCCCCTGCATAAATATTAAGAGAACCATCCAAGTTGTTCCCCAATTCCATACCAAATTATACTCCTACAACACTGTATGATATTGTTACCCCCACATTCTTTCCAACTTTAAAATTTTTGACATGATGGTGAAAATATCTTGTTGTAATTTGTATTTTTTGATCACCATAAATGTGATGAATCTCACTGCTTTTCAAGTTTTCTTTTATGTCCTTCAGAAAAATTATAGAGCTATTTTACCTGTAAAAACCTATCCTTTTTGGTTTCAGGTTTATTGAAGTCTATTATATCGTTTTTCCTTTTGTGTGTGTTTTCAGTGGGAGAACCAATCAACCGTGAGGCCTGGGAGTGGCTCCACAAGGTGGTGGGGGACCGCAGATGCACTCTGGTGGACACCTGGTGGCAAACAGGTGACAATGCTCCTGAGGAGAAGGGGACCTGATGGCAGGGCTCACTCACTGTATGTGACAGCACATGAGAACATGTGGCTAAGCCTGAGTCTTGGAGGGTCAAGTGTGAGGCTCTGTGGATACCATCCAACACCACTAACACCTCAGCCCCTCAGCATATGTGGTGGTTGAAAAATCCAGTGTCTGGAGTGAGAGGCAGAGGTGGCTGCCCTTTTGGAGCTATAAGATGTGTAATGACTTCTCTGGGCCTTGGGTTCCCCATTGGTGAAATGGGGGCGCTCCACTACAGGCCCTGGTAAAGATGGAAAGAGATGATAGTACTGCTGCATGTTGCCTACTGCTGACAGGTAGTAGGTACTTAGCTAAATGTTCATTTTCCCTGTAGGGTCCATGTGCCCAAAACAAATACATCTGATGCAGATGGGCCCTGCTGTAAGGGATCAGAGTCTAAATTTATATTTTAGTGGGAAACACATTTTTTTTTCTGTGTCATTTTGTTTTTCTTTGCCCTCTCTGCTCTGGTGTATCTGACTTATTAGGGTGTTCAGAGTAAGAGATCACCACCACTGCTGCAATAAATGTAGCCAACTGGGGTCTCATTCTCCAAGAAGCCAGAGAGTGAGGTATTGCAAATAGCTCTGTTCTCCTCCATTTGGGAAGGCTCAGGATAGACACTCCCTAGAATTGAGTCTCATGAGACATATCCATGCAGATGGATAGAGGGAAGTACCAGAGATGTGAGAACAGAATTGTGAGCATCGCTTTTCATTGTTTGGTGTGGGTGTGGGTGTGGGGGGGGAGGCACTGGCCCAGAAACAGTTCTTTTTCTCCATCTTCCTGTGCAAGTGGGTGGGTTCTGCCCTTTCCCACAGACCAAGGATGAGGGGAGGAAGCCATAGCTCCTGGGACTTACCCCTCCACCTTGGGTCTCCATCTCATTTCTGCAGATAAGAGGACTAGAACCCAAGTCTGGGCTTGCCTCAGAAAGAGGTCTGTGTGTCACTGGGATCACTTTGTTATTTCCTTATTGCAGACAGGGGCAAGCACTGGGAGAGTGCTCCCACCCTGGGAGAGCACTTGTGTGTCTGTCATGGACACTTCAATGGCAGGGCCTAGATAAACATCCCAGTACATGCTAGGCCCATCTTGCATTTCTTCCCCATTCTCCCTGCAGAAACAGGTGGTATCTGCATCGCCCCACGCCCCTCAGAAGAAGGAGCAGAAATCCTCCCTGCCATGGCGATGAGGCCCTTTTATGGCATCATCCCCGTTCTGATGGACGAGAAGGTAAGGGCCTTGCAGAGGTGTCTCCGTCCTCCATGCCGAGCTTCCTCCCTACCGACTTCCTGACACTCCTGTCTGCCTTCATGGCCTCCTCTGCCCACTGTCCCACATCATGTGTGCCAGGCTCTTGTAGGTGGAGGAGGGCAAGCATTCAAAGACATGGTTGAAATTGCCCATGGCGTGAGCCCTAGGTTCTCTGGGAAGCCCATTCCAGGCTGGTTCCTTACAGAGGAGAAAGGCAGTTCCTTTTGGGGCCTCCTTGTCATTTTTCATATTTCTGTTTTCATGCATATCTCTGACACTTCCCTCTATCATTTTTCAGAAGAATGTTAGTTTTTGCCTTCTGAAGCACAACCTGCCACTTCTCTCACATGTGTGTCTCCGGGTCTGTAGGGAAATGTTGTATAGGGCGGTAATGTCTCTGGGGCTCTGTGCCTGTCCCAGGCCTGGCCAGGCATGGCCAGGACCATCTATGGAGACCACCAGAGATTCATGGAGGCCTACTTCAAGCCTTATCCAGGTGAGCTGGCTAAAGTGGATCATGTCATGCATTTTTACACACACTGGGAATCATAGGCTCAGAAAATGATGACTGAGTATAGAGCAGTGACACTTTGGAGTTGGAATCCTGCCCCCTTCACCTCCCTAGGCCCCTTGGTCTCTGGAATGGTAAGAACATCTGGGGGTTAAGTGGGGCTGCACGCAGAGCCCAAGGTGCCTGACTGTGGTGTGCATGCCTTAGGCTACTAAGAGAGAAGGGTGAAGAAACCACTCTGGAAAACTGCCATGATGGCTCTGAGTTTTCTTCCAGTTTACTTTTTTTTTTTTCCTGCTTTGCTTTGTGCTGCTGAGTTGGAAGATTATATACACAATGTGCCTGTTGGAACCCATCATCTTCAGTCTCAAGCTTGTGTGAAAGAGACTCACTTTTGGGCACACTTGGGTGGGCTCCTTGTGTATCTTCTGTTCCCCAACGTTTGCAGTCATGACGTGGTCAGAATTCTGACTCAGAGCCACTGCCCTATCTCTAGCACACAGCCAGATGGCACTATCTAGAGAAGTATGTCCACAAGGGGTTGCAAGGAGGGTGAACAGGCAGGAAGTCAGCTGAGCTGGGGCTTCGGGGCTTTCTCTTATAGAGAGAGTCAGGGTATGGGTACTACTGTGTCCCTCCTGGAGGGAAGGGAGCCCCGCCAGGTCCTGGTTCAGTGGTGTTGGTGCTGAATTCTCCCATTGTGGTGCAGGCTACTACTTCACCGGAGATGGGGCTTACCGGACTGAGGGCGGCTACTACCAGATCACTGGGCGGATGGATGATGTCATCAACATTAGCGGTCATAGGCTGGGGACCGCTGAGATTGAGGATGCAATGGTGAGCATGGCCTGGCCTCCTTGGCTAGGGCACCTCTTCGAGGCCTCAGATTTACTTGTGTACTGACTCAGGGGATTCACCTCCTGCATGTTTTGCTTTGTGTTCTGCACAGGCTACCCACCCTGCTGTGCCAGAGACTGCTGTCATTGGCTACCCCCATGACATCAAAGGAGAAGGTGAGCACCCACCAAAGGAGCTCCTCATTGTCTTACACCCATTGTGGGGGGTGGGTGGTAAGGGATTTTTATGGGTCAAGCTGTTGCTCCCTTCTGTCTCACATGGAGATATTGGGTCAGGAGACTTGATTGCACACATGTTATGTAAGGGTCAGATTTCTGAAATGTCCTAGCTGTGCCATCCTTTAAGGACATGAGGATACACATCTACAAGCAGCCAGAACCTATTTGGCCTCTACTGAGCTTGGGAGTTTCATCTATCTGTGTGCATGTGGTGGCCTAGTTACAGAGGGTTCACATGAAATGCCCTGTCATGCTCAGAGCGTCTCCTTGCCCATGCTTGGTCACAGCATGTGGTGCTGGCTTGCAGCTGCCACAGGAACTGGCAGACAGGAGTGTGCTCTGGAGTGGACTTTTGCTGCTCTGGAGGAATTTGACCTGTGGTTCCCACTGCAGAATGACATGCCAGGGGAACGCTAAATGAAGATCAGGGTGGTCTTTATTAAAGACACACATTATTCCAAAGTCTGCCAGATTCTAAGCAGGTAGGTGTGGGAAGAGGCAGGATCACCTAAGTATTACAGTGTTCAGTGCACAGTGTCTATACTTGCTTGGCCTGGCATGAGCTAGACACTGCTGACCCTACACTGCACAGCTGGGCAGACCATCCTCCACTGCTCAGCCAAGCAGCCTGGGATTGGGCACTCTCCCTCTTGCTGTCAGGGACAGCCTCTGTCACAGCACGTCCCATCGTTACCTGCCTTCCTGCCACATTTGTATGCCTCTGGTCTATTATTTGTGCAAACGCCTTATCTAAATTGACTCATTGTAAAATTTAACATTTATTGAAGTTCTTTAAAAACAAAGCATTTTCAGTTGCTATGAGAAGCATGTGTTCATGAGGCTGCCACCCTTTCCTTAGTAAGAAACTGGGAAGTGCCAGAATGGGGGCAGGGATAGGAAGGGAACAGAGACGGGAACAGGTCCTTGTGTGTGACACTCAGAGGCCTTGGGCCACCTCATAATCCCATCAGTAGAAGCTGCACCTAAGTAACTCTGGGGTCACCAGGCCACTTAGTGATGGGGAGGACATGTGTGTCCATGGGTATGGTGATATACATTTTTCTGATTTCTAACAAATTTGAACAGCTATCCATTTGTAATACACAAAAGCAAAAGATGTTGGGTACCTATTTGTCCCCACTCCCTGTGTTTGCACTTGATATGACTGAGGGGAGGCTCTGGGTCTTGTCTGATTAAGACCCAGACCTGGCAAGGGACAAAAGTCCCTGCTTCATAGAGCTTTCATGCTGGAAGGTGAGGGAGTAGAGGGGAAAGATGGACAACACACAGTAAACACAATCAATGAAGAAGCTGTATAGTAGGTTAGGTGGCATGTGGCATGGGGAGAATTAATTAAGATGAGATGGAATTAATGCCGGTATACACAGGCTGCCCATATATAGGAGCTTTGTTTATGACAGGGCATTGCAAATCCATGGGAAAGAGACTGTCCAAAGTGGTTCTGAGATTGCTTATGTGGAGAAACAATAGAATTGGATCCCTGGGTCCCACATATACAAGATTATCCCAGGTGGATTGAAAAGAAATGTAAAGACCTGTGGGAACCACTGTTAATCCTTTCTGGAACCTGGAAAGATACTGACAAAACTTAGTATTTATGCTAAAATATTGATTAGTCAGCACTGCCCAACAGAACTTCCTGCCAAGATGGAGTTTGCTCCTAATCTGTGCTGTCCAGGACAGTAGCCATAGCTATAGGTGGCTCATGAGACCAAGGAACTACATTTTAACCTTAATTTCATTTACATTTTAATAGCTACTTTGGCTAGTTCCCACCATGCTATACATGTATGCACAAGATTAGTGCCATGTACTGTGTTCCCATGCACCATCTCACAGGAGTAGATAGCATTTTCCTGACATTATGGTCTACTTCACAGATGCAGGGACAGTGGAAGGGGGTTAAGTTATGCCCCCAAGGTCACACCCCCCAGCCAGTCAACACAAGAGCCCCAGAGAGCTCTCAACTAGATGTTGGCTTTGCTAGGATGTTCAAAGGAGCTGTTAGAATTGCTTCCGCTTTGGATGAAATGGAAGTGCGTCTTTAGGGCTACAATGAAAGAAAGCAGCTGCTACAAGGTCACCAACATATGATTTAAACATCTTTAGGATTTATGGTGACTATATACAGTGGTCTGCCTCAGGAGATGGTTTGTGGTCTAATACACCCCAAACCTTTGCTTCCTTCCAGCTGCATTTGCCTTCATTGTGTTGAAGGACAACGCAGGTGACCCAGATTTGGTGGTGAAGGAGCTCAGGTCAGCAGTGGCCAACAAGATTGCCAAGTATGCCGTGCCCGATCAGATTCTGGTGAGTGGCACCTGACCCTCAGGTGTGATGGTGCTGCTTGTCGTAAGCCTCCTTTTCTGCTTCCCACAATTAACATACAACAAGTGATCACTTTCATCAGCAGAAAGTTAGCTGTTTGGCTTCCAGGGAAGTAGGTGGGGATGGTGAGTTGCTATATCCTCAGAGAGAGGGGGAGGTCAGAAGACCTGGCAGCAAACATTTACACAACTCACCTGTTCAGGGGACCATGCTGGGCAGGATTAGGCACTCTCTTACTTTGGCCTGTGGAAGCTAGTTATAGAAGCAGGTCTGAGTGGTGAAGAAAATTAAGAGATTTTATTTATTTTTTAAAAGTTTTTATTTCAATGCAGTTAATTAACATACAGTGTGATACTAGTTTTAGATGTACAACATAGTGATTCAACAATTCCGTATTACTGTGTTCATCACAATAAGTGCACTCCTTAATCCCCACCACCTATTTCACCCATTCCCCTACCCCCCTCCCCTCTGTTAAGAATCTGTTTCTTGGTTTGCCCATCTCTCTCTCTTTTTTTCCCCTTAGCTCTTTGTTTTTTTCTTAAATTCCACATATGAATGAAATCATATGGTATTTGTCTGTCTTGTGACTATATATATATATATATACCCACACACATACACAGCCCACATCTTCTTTATCCACTCATCAGTTGATGAATTCTTGGGCTGTTTCCATAATTTGTCTATTGTGGATAATGCTATAAATATCAGGGTACATGTATCCCTTTGAATTAGTATTTTTGGATTCCTTGGGTAAATACCTAGTAGTGCAATTGCTGGATCATAGAGTAGTTCTATTTTTAACTTTTGGGGAACCTCCATACTGTTTTCTGCAATATCTGCACCAATTTACATTCCCAGCAACAGTTAAAGAAGGTTCCCCTTTCTCCACATCATCACCATGACATGTTGTTTCCTGTGTTGTTGATTTTAGCCATTCTGAGAGGTATGAGGTGATGTCTCATTGAAGTTTTGATTTGTACTTTCCTGATGATGAGTGATGTTGAGCAAATTTTCATGGGTCTATTGGCCATCTGGATGTCTTTTTTGAGAAAAAAAAGTTATTTGTTTTTTGGGGGGTTGTTGAGTTGTATAAGTTCTTTATAAATATTTGATATTAACCCTTTATCAGATATGTCATCTGCAAATACCTTCTTCCATTCCATTGATTGCCTTTTAGTTTTGTTGATTGTTTCCTTGATGTGCAGAAGCTTTTTATTTTGATAAAGTCCCAATAGTTTATTCTTGCTTTTGTTTCCCTTGCTTCAGGAGACATATCTAGAAAGAAGTCAATGGCTCATGTCAAAGAGGTTACTGTCTGTGTTCTCCTCTAGGAGTTCATTCTGGGTTTTCTATTCTGTCCCATTGATCTGTGTGTCTATTTCTGTGCTAGTACCATACTGTTTTGATTACTACAGCTTTGTAATGTACCTTGAGTCTGGAACTGTGATGCCTCTAGCTTTGCTTTTTCAAGGTTGCTTTGGCTATTTGGGCGTTTTGAGGTTCCATACAAATTTTAGGATTGTTCTAGTTCTTGTGATAAAGTGCTGTTGGTATTTTGATGGGGATTGCATTAAATGTGTGGATTATTTTGGGTAGTATAGACATTTTAACAGTATTTGTTCTTCTGACTCATGAGCATGGAATGTCTTTCTATTTCTTGGTGTCATCTTCAGTTCCTTTCATCAGTGATTTACAGTTTTCAGAGTACAGGTCTTTCACCTCTTTGGTCAAGTTTATTCCTCTGTATCTAATGGTTTTTGGTGCAATTGTAAATGAGATTGACTCCTTAATTTCCCTTTCTGCTGCTTCATTATTGGTTTATAGAAATTTAGCGGGAGTGCCTGGGTGGCTCAGTTGTTTAAGCATCCAACTCTTGATTTCAGCTCAGATCATGATCTCACAGTTCGTAGGTTTCAGCTCCATATGGGCTCCACGCTGACAGTGCAGAGACTGCTTGGTATTCTCTCTCTCCCTCCCTTCTGCCACTCCCTGGTGCTCTTTCTTTCTCTCTCTTTCACTCAAAATAAATAAATAAAAACTTAGATTTCTGTATGCTGATTTTGTATTCTGTGACTTTACTGAATTTGTGTATCAGTTCTAGCAATTTTTTGGTGGAGTATTTCAGGTTTTCTATATAGAGTATCATGTCATCTGTAAATAGTGAACATTTAACTTTTTTCTTTGCCGATCTAGATGCCTTTTCTTTCTTTTTGTTGTCTGATTGCTGTTTCTAGGATTTCCAGTACCATGTTAAGTAACAGCAGTGAGAGTGTATATCCCTGTCTTGTTCTTGACCATAGAGGAAAAGCTCTCAGTTTTTCCTCATTGAGGATGATGTTAGCTTTTCATATATGCCTTTATTATGTTGATGTATGTTCCCTCTAAACCTACTTTGTTGATGGTTTTTATCATGAATAGATGCTATATTTTGTCAGATGCTTTTTCTGGATCTATTGAAATGATTATATGGTTTTTATCTTTTCTTTTGTTAATATGGTGTATCACATTGATTGATTTGCAAGTATTGAACCACCCTTGCAACCCAGGAATAGATCCCACTTGATCGTGGTGAGTAATTCTTTTAATGTATTGTTGGATTTGATTTACTAGGATTTTTTTGAGAATTTTTGTATCCATGTTCATCAGGGATATTGGCCCGTAGTTCTCTTTTTTAGTGGAGTCTTTATCTGGTTTTGGTAAGGGAGTAATGCTGGCCTCATAGAATTGGAAGTTTTCTTTCCTTTTCTATTTTTTGGAATGGTTTGAGAAGAATAGGTATTAAGTCTTCTTTAATATTTAGTAGAATTCACCTGTGAAGTCCTCTGGACTTGGACTTTTTCTTTGTTGGGAGTTTTTTGATTACTGATTCATTTTCTTTGATGATTATTGGTCTGTTCAAGCCTTCTATTTCTTATTGTTTCAGTTTTGGTAGTTTTTATGTTTCTAGAAATGTATGCATTTTTTCCAGGTTGTCCAAATTGTTGACATATAATTTTTCATAGTATTCTTTTGTAATACTGTTTGTATTTCTGTGTTGTTGGTTGTTATTTTTCCTCTCATTTGTGATTTTATTTATTTGGATCCTTTCTCTTTTCTTTTTGATTAGTCTGGCTAGGGGTTTATCAATTTTATTAATTCTTTCAAAGAGTCAGTTCCTGATTTCATTGACCTGAGCTCCTGGTTTCATTGACCTGATCTATTGTTTATTTTGTTTTATTTTGTTTTCATTTCTATACTATTTATTTTTTCTCTAATCTTATTTCCCTTCTTATGCTGGCTTTAGGCTTCGTTTATTGTTTTTTTTCTAGGTCCTTTGAGTGTAAGGTTAGGTTGTTTATTTGAGATTTTTCTTGCTTCTTGAGGTAGACCTGTATTGGTATATACTTCCCTCTTAGAACCACTTTTGCTGCATCACAAAGGTCTTCGACCAATGTGTTTTCATCTTCATTTGTTTCCATATATATATATTTTTTAATACTTCTTTGATTTCCTGGTTCACTCATTCATTTTTTAGTAGCGTGTTGTTTAATCTCCATGTATTTGTGGTCTTTCCAAATTTTTTCTTGTGGTTGACTTCTGGTTTCATAGTGCTGTGATCAGAAAACATGCATTGTATGGTCTCAGTGTTTTTGTACTTGCTGAGGCATGTTTTGGGACTTAATATGTGATGTATTCTCGAGAATGTCCCATATGCACTCAAAAAGAATGTGTATTCTGCTGCTTTAAGATGAAATGTTCTAAATATATACGTTAAGTCTATCTGGTCCAGTGTGTCATTCAAAGCCATTGTTTCCTTGTTGATTTTCTGTTTAGATGATCTGTCCATTGTTGTAAGTGGGGTGTTAAAGTCCCCTATTATTATTGTATTATTATTAATTCCTTTATTTTTGTTATTATCTTATATATTTGGGTACTCCTAATATTGGGAGAATACATATTTACAATTATTATATCTTCCTGTTGGATTATCCCCTATATGATTATAAAGTATCCTTGTCTCTTGTTACAGTCTTTGTTTTAAAATCTATTTTGTCTAAAATAAGTATTACTATTCTGGATTTCTTTTGACATCCATTTGCATGGTAAATGTTTCTCCATCCCCTCACTTTCAATCTGCAGGTATCTTTACCTCTAAAATGGGTCTCTTGTAAGCAGCACATAGATGGGTCTTGTATTGTTGTTTTTTTATCCATTTTGTTACTCTATGTCTTTTGATTGTTTAGTCCATTTAAATTCAAAGTAATTTTTGATAGATATGTACTTATCACCATTTTATTACTTGTTTTGTCATTTAATCTAGAGATTTTCTTTGATTCTTTTTGTCTTTGTCACTTTGGGTCCTTCTTTTCCGCTCAGAGTCCCCTTTTAATATTTCTTGCAGGGCTGGTTTAGTAGTCAAAAACTTCTTTAGTTTTTGTCTGTCTGGGAAACTCTTTATCTCTCCTTCTGCTCTGACTGATAGCCTTGCTGGATAGAGTGTTGTTGGCTACAGATTTGTCTCATTAAGTGTGTTGAATATAGCATGGCCTGCCAAGTTTCTGAGAACAGATCTGTAGCTAGCTTTATGGGTCTTCCTTTGTAAGTTGAGGACTTTTTTTAATTGCTGTTTTTAGGATTTTTCTTTCTCACTGTATTTTGCAAATTTAATTATAATATGTCTTGGTGTTGGCCTGCTTTTGTTGATTTTGGTGGGAGTTCTCTGTACCTCCTGGATCTTGATGTCTGTTTCCTTCCCTAGATTAGGAAAGTTTTCAGCTATTATTTTTTTGAAAAAATTTTCTGTCCTCTTTTCTCTTTCCTCTTCTTCTGGGACTCCTATAATATAAATGTTAATATTATTACATTTGATGCAGTCATATTTAGTCTCCTAAGTCTATTGCTGTGTTTCATAATTCTTTCTCTCTTTTGTTCAGCTTCGTTATTTTCCATTATTTTGTTTTCTAAGTCACTGATTCATTTCTCTGCTTCTT